CTGAGCGCATACGACAGGGCCTCACCCCAGGCCCCCAGCTGTGGGTCTAGGGGAGCCCCGAGGATTTGCACCAGAGGGTGGGTGTCCCAGCTCAGTACACAGCGTGACCCCTGCTCTGCCTCCATGCCCTACTCAGGCCCCCAGGGACTGGATGCTGGCCCCACATTGTCCGCTGCCCCTGTCAAGGCCCGTCTTCTCTGCTCAGGTGGAGCTGGGCAGGCGGCAGAGACCCGGCCTCGACGGGGCAAAGTGTGAGAAGTGGGGCTCCGAGGGCCATGGTCTGAGCCCGGCCACAGCCGCAGAGGCCGCTGAGCTGGAGGGCAGAGAGGGCTTGCTCAGCAGCTCCATCCGCCGCGCCCTGCGTGCCCACCGCACCCTAGGAGAGGGCACCTGCAGCCCCATTGGGCCGCCAACTGAGATGCAGCTTTGCTGACTCACCCAGCCGAGTAGAGTTCACGTCCAAGCCAACCGTGTCGACGCCAGAAACCGCCTGTCGGCGAAGGTGGGCAGGGGAGCCGGGGCCGAGCCTGCAGTTTCCCGGGGAGTGGCTCCTGGAGAGGCGGGGGAGGAGAGCCTGCCCGAGACCCCGGGGGGCACGGAGACCCCAGCTGGAGCAGGCGGCGTCGGGGCCCGTTTCACAAGGAGCTGAGGGCCACACTGGGCAGGGCGCGGGTACTTGCAAAGAACAGTCGCCTCTTTTCTTTGCCAGTCGTGTTTGCACACGCAGGCTGCGTGGAGCATTTCCCCAGTTTTAGTCTGGAGAGCGAGGTCCCCAAGACACGCGGCATCGTGGGGGTCACGGGAAGAGCCCACAGCAAAGAGCTGCAGCTCGGGAGGAAGGCCCTGGAGAGAGGCCGGCGTGAGCACTGTCCCGTCCCGACACCCCCACTCTCGCGGGCCACACGAGGCTCTGCCCAGGGCAAAGCCTGGGACACCTCCCTGTTCAAAGGCCCCGCTAGAAAGTGAAGCAACAGCGGTCCCTGGTGGCAGCGAGCGGGAGGCACAGCCAGGCGGCCCACACCGGAGCCCGCGCCTCCCCAGAGACCCCGCATCTGGGGCCACACCAGGAGCCACACCTGGTGCCTTTCACGCCTCCTGCTGACGCCAGCTGCCCTCAGACCCCAGGTGGCCTGAGCGGGGAGGCCCAGCCTTCTTGTCCCTGCTCCGGGTTTCCTTAAATGAACTTGATCTTCTAAGAAGCAGGTTTGGCTCAGCTCTGTGCGGAGAGGAGCCGCGACCTTCCCTGCGGCTCTGCCAGGAAGCTGAGGCCGGGCGTCCTGGGCCGGAGGCAAGACTGCCCGACGGGGGTACCAGAGGGAAAGCTCTAAGCAGGGTTTGCAGCTGGGAACTGGTTAGCAAGTCTCAGCACCCCCACCCCCAGACCCACTGAGTGGGAGATGGGTGAGCCAGGGTCGGGTGTCAGCAGCTCCCACGTGGATCTGAGCACCCATCTGGGAGCACAGCCTTAAGGGCATCAACATCAGCTCCTTGGCATGCACAAGGGGCAGCACGCAATGTCCTCTCCCCTAAAATGGGCCGGCAGGAGACCCAGCGTCCTCAGCCCGACCCCCTCGTCCAGGTGCCACCTCCCAGAATCCCAGTGGCTCTGCTGGGCACGGCCACCAGGTCAGAACCCCCAGGCACCTGAGGGGCTCTGCTCTGCCCACCTGGCGCACAGGCCTGAGCCTGGCAGCTGAGCCCACGAGGACACAGATGCCGAGGAGGCTTCCGGAACAAGGCACCGGCCACCTCTGTGTCCCAGAACTCAGGGGGACGTGCGTCCACATGGGCAGCCCTGGACGCTGACGTCACCCTCGCGGCACACAAGTGAACTGAACAGAGCTTGGAGACCAGGACCGGCTCCCCAGCGAGTCAGAGGAGGCAGCTTTCCAAGTGTCCAGTGTCCAGCGCCAAGGCTTCCCCGCAGGCACGTCACGGCGGGCCCGACAAAGGAGCCTCCCCGGTGTGTCAGCAGAGATGGGTTGAAGGGCTGCGCTTTCTGAGCATCTCAGGGGTTGCAGGTGCCTCTAAATGCAAGAGGTTACAGGCGCCATGAACAATCACAGGCCAAGCCTGGGGGGCCACCTAGGGCCACCCCGGAAGTCAGCCTACTCCAGCGCCCCCCGGCCCATCGGCGAGCCGACCCGAAGCCGAGGCCTGGTGGGAAAATGTGGAATTTGGGGCACATTGCTGGCGTTCAGAGAATGAAGCTCTGCACAGGTATTTCCACGCAGCATCGACAACAAAACTGCCGCACCCACGTGGCCGTGGGGACAGGTGACACCCACGAAAACCAGAATAGGGTGACGCTGAGCCCGGCCCCTGCAGTGAGGGGAGCGGCGGGGGGACCCCCCAGCGACAGTCCTGTGTGCCCTGGATCCTCTTCATGTATTACCTGTGATTGTCATTAATTAGGGTGTCAGGCACCCCCGAGTCCGTGACCCTCGCCAGCCGCGGCCGGGAGTGCTCAGCCCGCCCCGCACCCGGGAGGGGCTCTGGCGGCAGGTGGGGGGACCCGCGGCCCGAAAGGCCGAGGTTGGGCAGCGCGCGCTGGAGGCCTGCGCCCCGGAACGCGGGCAGCAGGGGGCAGCGGGGGGGCAGCGGGGGGCACCCGCCGGCCACGCCCAACGTCCCGACCCCGGGATTCTCACCATGAACGAAGCAAAGCCTGTGCTGCCGCGGCGCCCCCTCCTGCTGCTGCCGCGGGGACCCAGGCTCCCGCCACGGCTCCCCGCGCCCAGCCCGGCGGGGCGACTGCCCGGGCCCCGCATCCGACCCTCCGACCCGGGCCCCCGGGCGAGGCTGCAGCCCAGGGGCCGCCCCAGGCCCGGGGGGCCTCCAGGAGGCGGGTGGGGGCGCAGACACAGCCAGGGAGGGCCTCGCCGCCAGCGCGGGGGGGTCCCATGGGGCTGCGGCCGCAGGGCCTGTCCCCCAAACTGTCCCCCAAGCCGCCCCCCCCACCCTGCCCAGTTCCCTGCCCCACCCCCGCAGCCGCGCATGGAGGAAGCAGGTGACAGCTCAAAAAGAAGAATCTTTTAATAAAAATCACTCATAAAAATCCTAACAAATTTCAAAGAGCGAGATATTAATTAGAACATTTATAAAAGAACATCTGGTCCTTTACAAAAGCTCCCCTTTAATTTAAATACATCTCTTATTTACAGATTAAACATAAACTCCGTCCAGGGCCGCGGGGTCATTGCACGGCGCCGAGAAGCCCTGGAGGGTCCCGCGCCCCGGCCTCCGCGGGGATTGTGTGGAGTTTCCCTCCTGCGCGAAATAAATAGAAGCACAGCTCTGTCTTGCTATTTAAAAGTAAAACAAAATACCTTTAAAAATAGTATTTCTCTGCCTCGCAGCGAGGGGAGGGGACGGGTCAGGACGGTCCACAGGCCGAACGCGTCGCCAGATTCACAGCCACATTCACGGGGACCCACCCGCCCGGGGCAGCACCGCGGAAGGGCTGGGCTCTGGGGTGGGAGGAAGGAGCACGGTGTGATCCCAAGTCCCGGCTCAGCTGCGGGTGGGAGGGGGACCCTTCGGCGCCCCCCCAAAGGGCAAGCTCTCGGGGAGGGAGCAATGAAGGGCTGGGGCTAGGGTGGCGGATGAGGAGGGACGGGGGCAGGCAGCCGCCAGGCGCGGGGGCAGGTGGAGGCGGGGACAGGCGCACCCGCAGCTGTAAGTCCAGGCGGGACGCAGACGGCGCAGGGCAGGGAGGCTGTGCAGCCAGAAAGGGGGGGGGGGCGGGAGGCGAGGGCGCTCGTTTCCACCAGGTCCAGCCCAGCCCACGTCACCCACACCCCGTAGAGATGGGGTTCCCGGGTCACAGGTCTACGCGGCCGAGCTGCCCTGGGCCTCCCGGAAGGCTGCTTTCAACAGCAGTTGCCAATCCCTTTTCAGGGTGGGGGCCCGAGTGGGCCCCCCCATTCTACCCGCCTGGGGATGTGGGGACAGCCACCTCAGTGCCGGGTCCTGGGGCAAAGCCCTGGGCCAGGCCATCACAGAATCACCCCCGAGCCCAGTCTCAACTCGGGCAGAAGCACAGACAGCCCCTGCCCCAGCCCGGGCGGCCCTCTCCGGGCCAGCAGCGAAGAAGCCAGTGTCACGCTCAGGACACGCTCCCCGGGGCTGGCCCCAGACAGCACTCGGGCACCAGGTCCCCCGGACCACTGACCAGGAGCAGCCTCCAGCTCGGGGCTCGCCCTCACCTTGGCCCCGTGCGTGTGCTGGGACGAGCCCGGCGCCCCAAGTGGAGCGGGCGGCAGACCTGACGCAGAACGCGTGGGCCGCGGAGCCCAGGCCTCAGGGGCACGCAGCTGACAAGGTGGCATGGCAGGACGCCCCAGCGGGCAGAGGGGGGGCCCTGCGGGGGACGACAAGAAGGCCGCGGGGAGCGCACACCTGCGGTCAGGGGCGTGGGGGCAGGAGGCGCCCAGAGCAGGCAGACAGGCGCACGAAGGGCCCGTCTCCCCTGACGGCTGCCTCCCCCGGGCCAGGGGCCGTCCCTCCCGGCTTGGCCAGGGACAAGGCCCGGGCATGTGTGCGCGGGCGGGTTTTCAAAGGGGCCTTTTGGTTTCACTGAGTCAATAACAACATTGAAAATAGAGGATTTTCAAAGAAAATTTCCTAATCAGTAGACGAGACCATGTCGCTAAACAGAATCTTCTCAAATGAAGAAAAAAAGGTAAAATAGAAGCATTTGATTTTTTTCACTTTAAAATAATTTGCATAGTAAAGATTTAAAAGACAGAAGTGATGTGACTGTTACTGAAAATCCCTTTTTTAAGAATCTCAAAGACCTGAATGAGAGATCTATTTTAAAAAACAGTAGCACTTGAATTCTCAAGGAGTAAACATCTCCGAGCCGGCTGCAGGGTAATGGCTTAAGCAGCACTGGCTTCGCCTGAAGGCTCATCACGCGCCCTCCCGCCCGGCACCCACAGGCCAGGCGTGGCCACCAGGCCCAGGGCAGCTCGCCCTCCCCACCTCCCTCTCTCCCCCTCGCCCACCTCCACCTCCCAGAAGCCAAGCCGGGTTCCGATCCGCCTCTGCTTCACAGGCGAGCACAGTGCAAGTTCACAGACAGACGACTCCACTCCGGCTCAGGAGATTGTACGAAAAGAAAGGCATTTTAGCACGACTCCCTCCTTATACGAGCTTGCTAAAATATCGAGCTGAAAGGCATGAACTGGCCTGCAAGATTCCAGAATCTTCTTTCTAACTATTCCCCACCCAGGTCCCTGTCACGGCAGCCCTCCCACGAGCCACACGGGCCTGCAGGAGCTGTGCGTCCTGCAGCCCAACACCGCGAGGCGAAGGCACTGACCACAGCCCGTCTCCACAGAGAAGCAGCCTCCAGCCCAGCTCCTCCCTGGCTCAGCTCATTGGCACAAGACACGGGAAACAACAAAATTCCAGCCCAAACACTCAGAACTGAGAACGCTTGGTTAGTAAACAGACAGGCGGAGGCTCAGACACTTAGGTATGTTGCTCTCCCTAAAAGGCACCCGGTTCTGGAACTAGGGGAGCTCCTCAGGTAAGTTCAAAGCAGACGGGGCCTACCGGCAGAGCCCTACCTGCTAAGCCCTGGACCGGGCATGGCCCTAAGAGACTTCAGGATTGGGACAGAACCAGCAACGATAAGCAGACAGCGTGTAACACTGTGAGGGTTACTGGCGCACAGAGGAGCGATGGGGACCGTCCCCGTGAGGTTTCAGTCACAGGCGGCTGCGGGAGCCTGCTTATCCAGCGCGAGGGAGACAGACCATCCGCAGGGGTGCCAGGCCCAGCTGCTCGCAGGCGCCACAGGCAGCCCCTGCAGGGCCGGGCCCGGGAGCAGGCGGAGGTCTGTCCAAGGAGCCGAGACGTCGGCCTGTGGCGAGCAGCCGGGCTTCCAGGAAACTTCTCACGTCCACGTGCCCTTGTTAAGAAACACAGGGCATTTCACTGAAGAGAAGAGAAACGCTAACGTATGCAAGAATTTACTAGTGTGGCGGGCAGCTGGACAAAACTCCAACACCACCCTGGACGGCCAGACGGCATCTTCTTCACTGGCGGCCGGACCTCGCGTGGCCTGGGCTCGGCCTCTGGTCCCTTTCGGGGCGACTGCGGGGGCACCTGTCAAATCAAGCCAACCATCTGGTCGATCTGGCGCATGTAGACGCTCTTCAGGGGCAGCGAGTACCTCCTCTCGTCGGGGATGCGGTTGCACTAGGAGGGAAGCGCAGGGCACCATGAGTGCAGCCGGAGGCCTCGGGAAACATGCTGACGGCCACCTGTTCTGGGTAAACTCGGATGCCCAGACCTCCTGACCAGGGGTCTCTGGTCAGCACGGCTGGCACCTGGGACATCCCCCACCCTCCGCCTCCCAGGTGTGACAACACAACTGTCTCCACACTGTCAGAGGCCCTGCGTGGAGCAAAGCACCTGCGTGAAAGACCACGTGAAAGACCATTTAACCTCGTCACCAGGCTGGCGACACACCGGGCAGCAGGGGCTCAGACACCAGACCAGGGCAGGCCAGGACCCGACACTGTGTCCAGAGCTACGGCCAGCGCGTCGGCAGCCTGAAGACCACGTGGCCTCTCTGAGCTTATGGTGCTTCTCGCCTCCGGCTCAGACCCGGCGCTCCAGAGAGCCGCTTGCTTGCTTGTTCATTTTTTAAGTAAAGGCATTTTTTTCCCCTCAACGGAGATGCAAGACTGAGAACCTGGATGTCATCTCGGGAGACCCAAGTACATCCACTATGTGCTCCCCACAAGTGGCTGCCCCCACAGGACCGGGACTGACAAGGCCTGACGAGGCTAAGGCCCAGCCCGGGGAGCAGAGAGCCTCTGCCCAGGCGCCCCGGCCGGAGCACTCACGTTGGAGCTGGAGTTGATGACGCCCAGCTCGTGGGGCCGGGGCCTGGGCGCGGAGTTCCCGGGCCGGGCCTGGCCTTCCTCTTCTGAGAAGAGCTCCTTCCAGGGCGACTCCCGCAGGTGCGCGTCCACAGCCACGATGTGGCCCTCGGTGGTGAACAGGTACCTGCTCCCGGCCTTGTGCACTGGGTTCTCCTCATCGAACAGCTGCGGAGGCGGAGCGAGAAGAGATACGGCGTGCTGGCGCTGACCAGCGCCCGGGGCCGATCAGAGTGCTTGGCGCTCCAGTGCTCCAGGGGCAGGTGTGAAAAGGGCAACCCCTCCACCTGACTGCCAGGCAGAGTCACCCGTTCTGGGTAAACTCAGATGCCCAGGCCTCCCACCCCAGCACCCACCTCCCCGCCGCCCAGCCTAGAGGGGCAGGAGTCCTGCTAAGACCCAAGTCAGTGAGCAAGCAGGGCCCTGGGCTGGGGCTCTGGAACAGCCCCCCACAATCAGGCTCCCTGCGGTGGCGGCTCCTGTTCTCTCCGCCCAGGGCACCAGGCCCAGCCCGGAGCCGGACGTCCAAGTCACAGCATGGCCAGGCTGAGCACACGGGGCGCCCGGGAAACCCCTGCACCAACAGTGGGCAGGCGGGGTGGGGAGGAGCATCCAGAAAGAACACGCCTGGGGCGGGACTCGGGGAGGGGGCAGGGTGTGTCATGTGAACGGATCCCTGGCATTTGGAACCAGGGAGTCCGGCCCTGCCCTGCCCTGCCCTGCCCGGCGTAGCTGCCCACGCACGTGCACACAGCAAACAGCAAGCACAGGGTACCCCAAGCTTGCTTCCCCAGACCCGAGTTCTTTCCTGAGAGCACCCTGACTCCACTATAGCCCGCAGGACACTGCTGCTCTGCCCGGCCTGCTCAGGTCGCCTGGCCACGGCCTGGCCACTGGGACCAGCAGGGAGGGGTAAGGAGGGGCCTGGGTCCGAGCAGGCACCCACATGGCGGGGCCCCAGCTGCAACGTCTGGAAGGCTCAGACCCGCACTTTCACAGCCTGCAGAACACACACCCGAGCAGCAGTCAGAACAGCAGCTCCAGGGGCCACTTGTCCACACCCAGCCTCCAGGGGCCACCCTGCCTGGCGGCCGGGCACGACAGGACCGGGAGCTTTTGGAAGCATCCCTGTGTGTGGCCCACAAGTACGCGCGTGGCAGACATCCCTTAGGCCGTCGGCCAAGCTAGTACAAAGCACACTGGGCAGGAGTTAGGAGGGCTGCTCAGCTCCACCACTGGCCCCCTGACCCTCCCTGCAGGCCGAGCTCCTGTGGGGAAGAGCAAGGCCCTTCCAGGATGGAGCTGCTCACCTCCCGCCACGTGGGAGGGTGCTCTGGGGACTGGCCAGGCCGTGAGGTCAGTCAGGACCGCCCAGCCAGAGGGGACAGGCGCCCCCTCCAGAGCACTGTCCCTACCGGACACCACTGCGCCCCTCGACCTGCCCAGCCACGCGCTGCCGACACCCACCCCGTGCCGTGTCCAGATCCAGGGACCGGAGGGCCCACGGAAAGGGCTCGCGACAGCTAAGGAGCAGCCACACGCTCCAGGCAGGACCGCGCCACCCACGCCCGCCTGTGCACACGCACCAGGTACAGGTATTTACAGGTCTCGCTGAGAAAGAAGCTCTCCATCCGGTCCTCTTTGGACTTGTCCACAACGTGGTGCAGCGTGGCGTACCCACACCTGCAAGACAACCTCCGTGAGGCGCCGCCCTCCCGCCCATGCCTCCTCCTCAGAAGCAGGTGCGCCGGCCCAGGCCCCAGCCCAGACACCAGGAGCCACAGGGGCGGCTCCTTGAAGTCACAGGGTGCTGCTTGAAGTCAGCCCCGGGGGCTGAACCCAGGTTCGGTGCAGAGAAGGGAGGCAAGGCGGGGTGGAGGGCGTATGCCAAAAGCGTAACCAGACACCATGACAACGACCAGCAGCAAACTGAGGGCTGCATTAAACGTCCAGCCCCTGTATTTGTAAAGCTGATGTATCACCTGGATAGTCTGAACAGTATTTATACAAAATGCTTGCTAAAAATTGAGGTCACAAAATAAGGTCACAAAATTGAAAGGGATTTTAAATCTACACATCTACCCACGTTCTACACAGACGCATGAGGAAGGGCCCTCGATGGTGCGCCCACGGGCCGCCTGGGGAGGCCGGCGTTAACGCCCGTCTGCCTGGTGCGCTCCCCAGACGTCCTGAGCGCCCACGTCCTGTGCTGAGCTAGGGGGAACAGTTACTTAAAAATAATGTGCGCGCTCCGCTGGAAGCTTGCAGAACAAAAGGCCAAAAGTCAAAGTGATCCCCAATTTAAAGGACAGTCTCTACTATAAAGTAAACAATCTCCCTACAAAATCAGCATGAATGACCTGTTCAATAAATTAAAATGCCAAGCAGTATTTTCCCAGAACAACTCAAAATTAATTGAAAGTGGCCAGTAGAAAAAGGAACTTAGAGAACTGACTTGACTTTCGTGTACTTCTCCAGACTCTGCAGGATATCCATCCCTACGTGGAGGTAGAAGGGGTTCTTGGTGGCCTAAAGAGAGCAGGAGAAAACGTGATCCAGCGGGACTGCGTGCCTCAAGGTCCCCAGCAGGTTGCGGCCGGCGCAGGCATGGGCCCAGCTCACGCCATCTGGGAGGCCTCGAGACTCAGGGGCCCAGGGACCCCACAGCGGGTGCCGAAGCAGCCTCCGTCCTGATGTGACAGGGCAGAATCAGCCTGCTCCAGGGCAGAGCAACAGCCCCTTGATGCCCCGATGGCGTCCTGGCCTCCCGGACAGCACCGGGTCTGGGGACACATCTAGAAACCAAGCAAGGTGCAGGCGCCAGCACCGGGCTCGGCCCACACTGCACCTGCTGGGCTGTGAGGGAAACGGACAAGGGAGGGCTCTCCGCTCTCCTCTCCCGACCCTGAGAACTCGGACCTCCTGGCTGACTCTTTTGTTCCTGCTCCAATATGGTTTCTTTAGTAAAAAATTTCTCTGGGGAGCTGAGACTCTGACCCACCGGGAGGTTACAGTAGGATCATCACCGATTCTCACCTAGTGTGGCAGGAAAGCAGCCACGTGACTCGGCCATGCCCGGGCCAGGCTGTGAGGCTGACCCCTCACTCTAAGGAGACAGAGCGAGCCGGAGGCTGAGGATGGCAGGACAGGGAGGCAGCGAGAGACACAGAGACCCCGAGTGCCAGGAGGAGCTCAGCCAGAGGCAGCCCTCCCTCACCGAGAGCTTGGGGCCACGAGCCCCCCCTACTTAGGGAGAGCACTATGGCGGCCTCGCGTCCCCTTTCCAGCCAGAAGCAAAGCGCAAGGATTCAGGACAAAAGGCCGGCACCCGCCTGAGCCACGGAGCCCCGACCCCGGGCTCCCCAGCGCGTCTCGCAGCGTCCGCAGGGTGCTGACGGGCTGCAGGTGGCGTGAGGCCGGTATCCCTGACACGACGGGTCGGCTGCCAGGGGCGGATGTGGACTCTGGGGGGATGTCTGCCTTCACCGCAAGGAGGAGACTCCCAAGGGGGGCACTGCGCTGGCACTGAGACTAACACCCTCGGGGAAGGAGTACAGTAGGTGCTGCTTACACACGAAGCACAACTGGCAAGTGGATGAATCCCAAATAATTTCCTTTACAAGCAAGAAAAGGAAGTTTTTGTCTGTATACTTACCGCACGGACCAGGAATACGGACCCCACCACATGTGGGTTCTTTGGTAAAATAAACATGGAAACACTGAGCACCCAACCTCCCTCTTGACCGTCAAGGGCACAAGAACGCACAGAGCGCTGGTGCAGCTTGGCCCCCTACCCGCACCAGCCTGTCAGTCTGTCTACAGGCCCACCTGGCCCAGGGCCCAAGGGCCCCCTACCTGGTAAAGGAGGTAGGTGGACTCCACCAGCTCGGGCCGCAGCGGGTAGAAGGGCACCTCAGGCGCCTGCAGCTGCCAGTTGTATCTCTCAGGGAGGGCCCCGTAGCGCTTCCAGATGGCATAATAAAAGGCGTGGAGGCAGATGGCGTCTTCCACATCTCCTATCAGAACCTCAGGGGACACGGGCACATGTAAGCCACGGCACCCCGAAGAGCCCCGAGGGCAGGACAGTGCCCTTGGCCCTGGATCTCCCACCCCGCCCCCGCACAATGCCCCGCCCCCGGGCCGCGCGGCCCTGGGCATCAGGACAGGACAGGAGGGTCGGCACCACGGGCAGGCAGCTGGGCCCCAGGGCAGCCTCCCTGGCACCTGGCCTGCCTCTGCGGCTTCGCCTCCTTCTCAGGCCCAGTCAGCGCTCACGCTCGTCGCCCAAGCAGAGCCATCGGGACATGCTGGGCTATGAACCCCCAAATCCACAGACCCAGAGGCCCGGGGCATAGGGCGAGAGCGGGGCGGGTGAGGGAAGTACCTGCAGTCCCGGGAAGAAGGCCTGCAGGGAATCAATCCAGGTGTTCATCAGCTGCCCGCTGAACATGTTCACGTTGACGTACAGCGGGGGGTCTCCGTCCCCCTCGTTGCAGGCTTCCCGGCTACGGCCAAGCAGAGCGCGCAGGGCAGGGGCTCAGGGACTGCCAGGCGGGCGAGGGTCAGCGCGCTCTCTCCCGACTCGCCCTTCAGCCTCGGCGGGCAGACCACCTCCGCCTGTCTGCACGGAGCACGCGCCACAGCAGGAACTCGGGCTGGAGCGCAGCCCGGCCCGCCACGGGCAGGCGGGAGCCTGCTGATTTCTGGGGAGACCCTCCACGGGCCTGGGAGCACACAGGTGCACGGTGCTCAGGGCTACTCCTCGACTCGCTTGGGCCTCCAAAGAACAAAAATGACAACTCAGGCCACAGCCCCTGCCTGAACACGGCGCCTGTGCCGGGGCTCCCATGGCAGGTCGGAAGTGGGCCCAGGAAATGCCTGGTCTGCAGGACACTAGCAGCTGTCCCTGCACAGGCCCTGACCCGACAAAGAAAGGCCTGGGGAGAGCGGAGACATCAGGAGAAGCCACCTAGCTTCAAACAGCCCCTCTCGGCCGCCACACAGGACGAGCGACGGCGCAGCAGCCAACAGCGCTGCCTAAACAAGCCTGGCGGGGAGACCGTGCTCACTGTCCCTCCACTGTCCGCAATCAAAGGCCCAAAATACTCGGCAATGACCCTGCACTGGGCTCCATCTGCACGCGCAGCCACAGTGGAAACACACCCGCGGAGCCAGTCCCCGGCAGGACCCACCCCCTGCACTCGACGGCAACCCGGACAGATGGTGGCCCGGTCACTGCAGACCCGGCCGCGAAAACACGTGGCTTCCATGGTGGCCCCCATTTGTGTCAGGCCACCCGGAGGGGAGCTGCCCACAGAGGCCGGCTGGGCCGGTTCCCGACCCTCAGGGCAGCGAGAGGACGCCGTGGAGGCCCTAAGTCCAGGGTGACCGTGAGTAGCAGCAGCCCCTCCCCACCCCTGCCCCCTGCGACTGACAACCAGGAGTGGGAAGGTGAGGGCAGAAACTAGCAGACGCCGTGAGTGAAGAAACACAAGGGTCCAGAAGGCCGTCTAATCACCGCCAGGACGCAGGGGAGCCGGTTCGGGGACTCACCCCCTTCTCAGGTGGCTCTGGATGCTCTGATACGCGGCACTGAACATCTCCAGGTCCTCCTTCTCTCCGAAGAGAATGTACGACTTCAGGAGGTACTCGTAGAAGGAATCCAGGCCCGCGCCCAGGCCGCTCTGCCTCCCGACCCAGTGGCCCGTCTGGATGTTCACGACATTGCCTGCAAAAGCCACCACACATGTCAGCACCTGGGGACGTTCGGCTGTCGCCCGCCGCAGCACTGCCCCCATGGGCAGTGGGGAGGTGCCAGGCCCTGGAGGGCCATCAGCGGGCAGCAGCAGGGGCAACCATGGGGCCTTTCTTAATACAGGTGCTGCTCCTGGCACACACTTGCGGACACTGAAGAGACAAGAAAAATCAGTCTGGGCCTCCCGGGTGGCGCAAGGGGTTAAGCACCACACTGTGAAGCAATCCACAGCCTCTGCAGCACAAGTTTGATCCCCGGCTGGCCAAGGAGCAACCACAAGGCGCAGCAGACCTCTCCTGCCTCGCCCACTGCTCCCCTCATCAGTGTCTTCAGTCCGTCTGCCTGTTCTGCTCCCCACTCTGTCTCTGGTACATCCTCTCACCCTCCCGTGCATCTGGCCTGCACCCCAGTTCTTGTATAAATAAAAAATCTTTGGAAAAAAAAATTGTCTTTAAAAAAAAAAGTTTTTGGAAAAGAAAGTATCATGTTGGGCCTCCCCGGTGGCGCAGCGGTTGAGCGCTGGGTTGCGAAGCTGCCCGCGGCCTCTGCGGCGCCGGTTCGATCCCCGGCTGCTCCCCGGCCACCGGCGGAGGATCCCACATGGCGCGCAGACCTCTCCTGCCGCCCGCTGCTCCCCTCAGCAGTGTACTTCGGTCCTTCTGCCTGCTCTGCTCCCCGCTCTGGCTCTGGTGAATTCTCTCACCCTCCCGCGCTTCTGACTGTACCCAGTGCATGTATAAACAAAACAAACAAACAAACAAAATAAATAAATAAACATGCCTCTATTAAAAAAAAAAAAAAAAAAAAAAAAAGAAAGTATCATGTTGTTCATAGAAAAACTGTCCATAAAAGGGAACTATAAACGAGAAGTAACGCCAGAGTGGTCTCTGGGCAGCGCTGAGATGGCTACTGTGAGGTCGGGCCGAGCTCTGGCAGGCCTGGAGGGGCGTCCCAGGGTGACAGGGAACGCTGGCTCAAGCCACACACGACGGTCGTGCAGGCCGGGTTGAGGAGCCGCGGCCGCACCGGGTGATGGGCGGGGGACACATTTATTTCCACTGCGATTAAATACCACAAACTTGTGAATAAACTTAAGCAGGATAAGGAAAACCGCTAATGAAAAGGGCAGCTTTACCGCAGCGACCTGGGTAAACAGCCAGTATGTGAGCCCAGAGCAGAGAGGGCCCCCCTCGGGGGAAGACAGCTGCACCAGGTGAGACCCAAGCCCGGAGTCGGAGCCATGAAGAACCCGCAGGTGAGTGGTTAGTGCGGGTGCAGGCGACTCACTACACCTTTCCTGCTGCTGTGATTTCAGGCACACCCTGAGCCCTGACCCCAAAGCAGGTCCAGTCCGAGCTGGCGGCCACTAGGCCACGCCTCAGTCATTTTCAAAGCAGAAAACCAGCCTCTCATAACCCTAAGCTCCTGGACTTCAGGCCTTGCATGGAGTAACTTCACCTGCCGCAGGGCAGTTCTTTTTCCAGCATTTCCTTTAACAGTGACTCTCCGAGCAACACACCAAGGGGCTGAATCGGAAGATTCTTCTCCTCCCAGCAAACCTGAAGGCTCACTCTAAGCAAACATCATGTGAAGAAACAGCCAAAGGCAGGGCCGGGCCGACCCTTCCGAGTCCTCAGTTCCCAGATTTGACAGCACCACAAAGAGGAAGGGCAGGGACAGGATCCGGCACACGGTGACGGAGAAGGTGCCACCTACCTAACAGCCCCGTCTCGTTGCTCCGGAGCTCCCAGAGGGCTTTCACCGCGCGCCTGGCCACCCACTCAAATGTGGAGTCCCCCAGCAGGCGGCTCAGGATCCCAAATTCCACCAGCAGGGAGCCGGCACCCGCCGTGCAGGTCTCGTTGTTGCTGTCCGGAGGAACGCCCGTCTTGAGATTCACCTGGCACAGAGGACACAGGGCGCAAGGTGGATGTCACAGCCCTGCAGGCAGCTGGCAGGGCACAGGCTGCAGCTCCTAGGGGCCCAGCACGCTGCAATGAGCCAGCTCGCAGGCCACATGACACCCAAGACAGCGCAGGAGCCGGTGTAAAGCTCATCGAGACAGTATGCATGCCTGAGCCTCGTGGGGCTCAAGGGAGCGAATCTTAGGGAAATCGCAGTCCCGGCCATGCTTCCAGCGGCCCTTGGTCACACTGCACAGCCGTGGGGTGAGAGACCAAGCAGGCCGTGCTGCTCGTGACTTTGGAGCAGGCCTCTTGCACTCACGCCTGCTCAGCAGCCTCAGCGCTCCCCGACCGGGGAGGGAGGCGCCGGGCACCCAAGGCAGCCTGTGCCTTTCCCGCGGCCCTGGGCACTGCGATCCCCCAGCGGGGTCCGCAAGGGTTGCCTCCATTCCCCGGGAGTTCTGGGCTCAAAAACCAGCTGCCGTAAAGACGGAATCTCTCCAGATCTTGTGTTTAAGCCAGAAGCCAGCATGCAGGTGTGCACAGGCTTATCTGAAGGATCCGCCTGAAGGACCTGAGCCTTCAGAACCTCCACGCGCTCGGCACCTCGCCCGAGGGTCTTCAGGAAATGGACCCAGGTCAGACGGGCTTTGCAGCAGGGAACATGAGCCCCACATGCAAAAGGACCTAAGAAAACTGATCACGGGGAACAAAGTTCCCGTAGGGAAGGATGAAGTCAGATATGTGACTGCCCAGCACACAGTAGGTACTCAATAAACACTGAATGAGGCAGAAAACATTTCCCTCGCATTTAGGACCAAATTCTGGCAAGAACACGGCTTGGTTTTCCTCTTCCACCTTGGTCCCAGTCTCCCCCCAGTAAATATACTTAGGGAGGGTGGTGGCTCCGAGACCCCGTCTTGGAGGCCTACCCACCCGAGGATAGGGGCCCCCGCTCCTGTGGCCTACCCACCCGAGGATATGGGATCCCCGTCTTGGTGTTCTCGAAGGCAGGCAGCAGCCTCACGGCCAGGTCATGGGCCATGTGCAACAGCTCATTGTCGTAGCCCTTGATGGTCATGTCGCCAAAGGGCTGTGTGGAGTCAGTTATGATCCTGTGGGCAGAAAGAAGGCTCCCCAGTACCCTGTGCGAGAGAACACAGAGGGTGAGAGCCCGTCGGTGCAAATGCACAGGCGCAGCTGAGAGGACAGAGCAGCCTCGCATGCCTTCTGGACTCAGTTGCCCGGTTCGGAGGACCCTCTAGGCTGACGCGCAGCGCGCTCAGTCTCAAGACAAACACCACCTTTTAATCTTAGTAAATCATTCTTGATTTTTCTCACTTGGAGAAAAAACTTGGAATACAAGAAGCAGAAAAGAGCAAGACAATAAACACCAGGAACTTTTGTGGTGGGGGCCACCGAGCAACTGACAAAACTCTCCCATTCTGGGTGAGAAGTCCGGAGCGTGTTGGGGGGAGGCCCTGCGCGGGGCAGGAGCCGCCCTCCTAGATCCACCTGCCCTGAAGAGTGGCGGGACTGTGGGCATTTTCCAGAATAAGTGTTTACACACGAAACTGGGTATGGACTGGGGGGGGCGGGGGGGGGGGCGTGTGAGACAGGCAGGAGGAGGAAATGCGCCCAGAAGGGAGCGGAGCCCGCCCGGGGCGAGACGGGAACTGTCATTTCCTCCAGAAACCAGCAGGGGCTTCCTGGGGACTCGACAGCAGGAAAGGCAGCTGAAAGGAAGCAGACGCTGACTGGAGAAAGGGAGGCCGTGGAGATCTGCAGGAGGGGGCGCCAACCTCACCCCAACATTAAAGCAGAAGTGTTCAAGATGTCATTACTTTGGACGTCATTTCTTTCATTTTTATAACTCCAAACAGGAAGGTGAGCCGGCCCCCGCACCCGCCTGGCCCCGGTCCTCTCTGCGCGCGCGCGCGCGCGCACACACACACACACACACACACACACACACACACTCTCGCGCCGCATCCACGGAAGTGCCAGTTTACCTTATCGTGGCCTCAAAGACCTGGACGGTGGAGTCTTTGTCAAATGAAACTGTGTCGATCACTAACTTGACTGCTTTCTGGAACTCGGATGAATTTCCCATTATCTTTAAAAAGAGGAACAGAGACCATCAGCGCGGCTGGAAATGACATGGGCTATGCGCAGCGGGGGCGGCCCGGAGGGCAGAGAGCCCAGCGCTCTCAGAGCACGTTCCAGCCGGCACCGTGTCTTCCTGCTCAGGGCTCCGGGCTCCACGCAGGACTGCAGGTGAGGTCTCACAGGCCCTCCCTCGGCACACGCCCCCAAGTCGCCTCGTCCCACTTAACATGCCAGGCCTGACCATTTCTAAAATTCCTGAGATGAGGGGCCTCCCTGGTGGCGCAAGGAGTTAAGATGCAACCTATGAAGCTGTCTGCAGCCTCTGCAGCACGAGTTCAATCCCCGGGCTGGCCCAGGAGCTACCCACATGGTGCAGCAGGCCTCTCCTGTCTCCCCGCTGCTCCCCTCAGCAGTGGATTTCAGTCAGTCTGCCTGTTCTGTTCCCCGCTCTGTCTCTGGTAAGTCCTCTCATCCCCCCACACCTCTAGCCGACACCACAGTTCTTGTGTGCATAAATAAATAAATCTTTCAAAAAAAAAAAAAATTCCTGAGATGAGGAGATGAGTAAAAATAAAGCTGAAAACTGAATAAAGAGAAATGTGACTTTCCCTCTGCTCCTCAACTAAACGCACAGCTTGGGTGTCCAGTTCCCAGAGAGCAAGACATCTGGCAAACGGACGAGTCTCGTCTCGGGGGGCCTAGCCCCCCTGCAATCCTCAGGCTGTCCTTATGGAAAGGGTGCAGCACTACGATTCTCCTCCCAAGCTACTCTCCCTCCAGGAAACACAAAGAAGCACACCCAATTTTATAGGCTAACCCGACCTGAAACGCTTTCCTTCTGCCGAAAAGTCGTGACACCACCACAAGACGGACATGAGAACAAGGGCAAGCGCCACGTTACTCGACCTCCACGCCGCCCGCTTGTGTCCCTAGCACGCCTGGCCGCGCCCCCTCGCCGCTGCTCCCTGCACGTGCCATGAGCCCAGGCGTCGCTCCCCAGCAGCCCCCATCCTCTGAGCGGCTGTGCGGGGGCGGCAGGTCCCCCGGGGCCCCACGGCACAGCTGCTCAAGCCCACGCGAAACGTTCACAGGAGGAAAGGAAACCTCAACAGAAGCGGCAGCTGGAAAGGGACGCTGACGTGCTCACACGTGACCGGCGCGTGTGCTAGGAGGGCCACCCCAAGCCTGCTTCCTGCAGATGGTCACCGACAACAACGCGCAGAGCAGCTGACGGCACTGGCTGCGCTGAGACCGGGAGGCTGCGAAGCGACATCCAGCTGCAGCGCCGGTCTCTGGCAGTCTGGTCGGGCAGCGAGGCAGGGCCGGGCCTCACTAGAGCCGGGCGGGCAGAGCTAAACAGACTTCTTCCTCAGGGGCTTCTCAGAGCCTGTGAAATGCTGCCGCGCTGGGCAGCTCTCTGGCGGGGACCGAGGCCCTGAGTGTGTCACATTCACTTGGAAACAGAACCCTTAGCTCGGGGACTCCATCCTGGGAGGGACCAGCTGAGCACGAATCCACTCTGAGGTCACAGACTTGCACTCCTTCCCACCAGCGCCAGAGGTCACTGGGCGAGGGTGTGGAGAGGAGGTCTCCACGCTCAGAGCGGGGCGGGGCGGGAGAGCACGCGGGCTGCAGAGGCCACTGACGGAGCCCGGAGCCACTCGCGTGGGCCTGGGCAGAGCCTCTCCCCGGTGCCTGGCGGCTGGGAGGCTGCACGACCCGTCTGGGCACATTCTGCTGGGCCACGAGGTGTGGGAGGGGTGCAGGCGAGGGGGTGATGGGGCACAGCAGCAATGTCTTCAGGAGATACTGGGACAAGAAACTGCTTGGCAATAGAATGAAATCCCGGATGTCCTACCAGACCGACCCCCAGCAGGACACACACTCAATGCCCCTCCAGGCCTAACGACTATACTCCAAGCAGAGAGGACAGAGGGGTGCAAACCTAGCACTCCTGACAGCTCTGGCTCTTCCTGGGCAGGCAGGAGACAAGAGCGGATGATAAAATGCAGGATCTGCGCGTGCGGCAGTGAGTCTGCTGGGCTGAAGGAGAGCAAAGGCGTTCTAAAAGCCCCTTTCCTCAGAGATCAGCCCCTCAGGAGCCGAGTCCTACAGGGGCGGCAGGACACGCCTGGGACACAGCGTCCGCGCAGCTGTCTGTGCAGAGGTCTCCCATCCCCGGAGGCGAGAAGGAAATCTCGGGTGAGGAGCCATGGGCAGCAGCAGTCTGGCAGCCCCCACAAATCCCAGCAAGCAAAGGAGAGGCATCTCTGTGCAGGGGCCTGCGAGCAGCCAGACCAGGGCTCAGACGTGGGTGAGGCCTGCCAGCCGGGCCCTGCTCCTGCACATACAACTCTTAACCGCAGTGACTGTGGACGCCCATGGAATTCTCTCTGCATTCTGTGAGGGAATAAAAAGTGGGAAACTGGAAGAAAAGTGGGTTCCCTAGGGGGCCTCCGTGGTGGTGCAGGGGTTAAGTCTCAGCACTGTGAAGCTGTCCGCAGCCCCTGCAGCACATTCCATCCCCGGCCAGGAGGCTACCCACATGGCGCAGCAGACCTCTCCTGTCTCCCCCTGCTCCCCGCAGCGGTGGGTTTCGTCAGTCTGCCTGTTCTGCTCCCCATTCTGTCTCTGGTGAATCCCCTCACCCCCGCAAATCTGGACTATACCCCAGTTCTTGTATGCATAAATAAATAAATCTTTAACAAAAAAAGAGAAAAGTGGGTTCCCTAAAAACAATTACATTTCCTGCATTTTTTCAAAGGGAATCTCGTCTCTCCTCATTTAATCTTCAATGCTTTTCTGAATAAACAACAGCCCTCAGGGCAATGACTACACTGCTCCAGGTTTCCCAGGACCCAGCCCTGGGGCAGGAGGGCAACCCCTCCAGAGCGCTGATCCTAGCGAACCAAGAACAGCAGAGTGGGGCTGAGCACTCACCGCCAGAGTGTCCAGTGCGTCCACGAGGGTCAGAGAGTAGTTCCCTAGGACGTCGTTGATGTTCAGGTTTGAACTGAAAAAGAAATGAGATGCAAGTTAAATAAAAGCACTTTATTAGAGAAAGCAGCCGCAGAAACGGAACACCCATCGGCAGCACAGGCGGGGGGCCGCGCGGGGGGACGGGATGGCCGGTCTGCTCCCCAGGTCACGTCCTGAGGGTCCCAGCGGGTGGAGGCAGGGGCGGCGAGGCAGTGCCGAGCCCCGGTGCTCACTCACCCGCCCTCCCGCAGGCCAGGAGGAGCCTCGGAGACAGTGAAGGAAGGACCGACAGCCGCAGAGATCACGTTTAATGTTCATGAGGGAAAAGGCCCCTCTCACTTTCCCGAAGGCCCTGACGCTGCCGTCAACCCTGGCCGCGCTGCAGCCCCGGGGCTCTGGCGGGTGCCAACCTCCCCCAGGCGAGGCCCCAAGGCTGGTCCTGCCCCCTCAAGACCCTGCAGGGGCCCCGGCCAGGCTGCGCTGTGCCACGGCGCCATGGACAGAGAACGGGCAGGCCGGTTTTAGATTTTTAAACATAAAAAGGGCTCTCCTCTCACATGGCGCCGGCAAAATGCAGGGCTGCGCCTCCTGGCCCTCTCCAAGCAGGGCAGGCCCTGCCAGAGGCCCTCCGCAAACGGGCACTGTGGGCTCCCATGGGCACCCCAGGGGCTGGAAGGGAAAGGGGCAGAGAGCGGGGAAGGGCCACGCCCACTGGGGGCCCCACACTCACACTCGGTTCTGCCAGCTCAACGCTTCTGCCCGGCCCGCGTGGCGCGATCCCAGGCCTGTGCTGAGAAGCCTGGCTCATGGGAACTTTCAGCGCAGAGCCTCCCAGCCGGAAGGTGCTGGAAGGCAGGGCCCCAGGGCCCCGCCGTCTCCCGAGTCACACCGACCTGCGCCCACTGGCCCTCCAGCCACCCAGGCCCGGGCTGGAGGGCCGCCCTGGCTGCTGTGCTTCTCCTGCTAGGTTCCGAGCAGAAGGGCCCAGTCCAGCGCGTCTCCCAACCAGGGCTGCCCCGCGGCCGCCGACAGCGAGCACCTGCAGGAGCCACACGCTGAACGCGGACTTGCAGGACCCAAGCAGGTGCCTTCGCGCCTCTCCCCCAGACGAGCCACCCCAGGACAGGCGCTGCGGCCCCACCACGCGGTGCTACGCCCCTTTCACCAGGCGCCGAAACAGAACCGGGAGCGGGGGAGGGGAAGGAAGGAAGACACAGGCTCCGGAAAACCCGGCAGGCCCCCCACAGACCCCACAGACACTCCCGCCGCCTGGCCAGGCGGACTGCGGCTCCGTCCCGGCATCCAGTCGGCCCGCGTTCCTGCCGCCTCTCCTCAGTGGCTGCCCCGTGCCCCCGCGGTGACCGCCCACGCCTCCAGCCACCCAGCACGGAGAAGCGGGCAACCGCGGCGCCTACGGGTCAATCTGGTCACGAAGCTCACAACCCGCGAGCAAGGCCCCCCTGACCGCCCGCGCCCGCCCAGAGCCGGCGGCCCACAGTCCCGATGCGGGGGCTGAAGGCTGGGGAGGGGGCCCGTCGGCAGGGGCCGGGCGGGGGATGCAGGAGACGCGATTCTGCAACAGTCACAAGTGTGACCCGCGGCCCCGGGGCCTGGGGGTAGGGGCAGAGCAGGCGCGAGCCGGGGCCTGTTTCTGTTTCAGCGGCCGAGTCCCGGGCTGACCGTGGCCACCGCCGCGAGACGGGCAAGGGTAACCCCCCGCACTCGGAGACACGCTGGAGCTGCCACCCGGGCCGGGGAGGTACCGGGCTGGCGGGAGGCCTGTGGCTGACGGGAGGGCTTGCTGCTTCTCCAGTGTTCAGGTTCCACGCACTTCACGTTATCACCCGCCCTCCTCGGGCCGGCAGGCGGGCAGGTCAGCCTCGCGGGATCGCCCAGAAACAGGAAAGGGTGCCCAGAGCACAAGGCTCTCCCCAGAGACATGGCCAGGCAGCCTGACCTCAGGGTCCCCACACGGTTACTGTACAAGCAACCCCCGAGCCGCCCCCAGAGACCTCATCCTGGCGGGAAGGCCCCGCGCTCCGGAGGGTCCCCGGGTGCCGCAGGGGAAGGCCTGCATCAGCTCTGCCCAGCCGCAGCCACAGGCGCGTCTGCTCCCAAACCCTTTCCTCGGGAGCAGCGGCTCTGCCCACCTGCGGCCGCGCGGGCCTCCAGGTTTTCCCGCCTCCTTCCCTAATAGACCTTCCTTTTACAATGTCAAAAAAATAAATAAAAAGGCATAAAAGCACCCCAACACCATCCCCGCCCATCCCCGCCCACCGCCACCCAGGCCAGGGGGCCCAGGCCGGCTCCCTGCCTCACCCCAGGGGAGAGCTCCCAGAGGGCGGGAAGGGGGTGCTGGGGCCCCTCTGGGCCCGCGCAGGGGGCGAGGGCGCCCGGGCCAGCACAGGGGCTGCGCCAGGTGAGCCGAGGGCGCTGGGGGCAGGAAGGGGCCGGGCCTGCTGGCCGGCAGGATTTTAGGCTTTTTTCCCTTCAGATTTCAACGTTTTCCTCCCCAAACAACCCCGACGGGCAGCAGGGCACGGGTGTAAAGTCCAGGCGCCGAGCAGGACGGCGCGCAGCCTCCCCGGGGCCGAGGCTGTCAGAAGCCGGCCGAGACCCCCGGAGACCCCGGAGACCCCCGGAGAGGCCAACCCGGGGCGGCCCGCGGGGTCCTCCCTCCCTGGGGACCGGCTGTCAAACCGCTGCCAGGCCGGGCCCTGGCGGCCCGCGGGGGCTCCCTCCCCGGCCCAGGCGCCAAGGCCGCGCACCCCGGGTGCGGGTGGAGCGGGCCCGGGGCGGGGCGAGAAGGGGGGGCCGTCCCCCCCCCACACCCCGCCCGCGCCGTCCTGCGGTCAGGCCGGCCCCTGGCACTCCAGCCGGGGCGGCGTTAGTCCCGGGTCGCAGGGGGCTGGGGTCCGGGGTCGCGGGGGGCTGAGGCCTGGGGTCCGGGGTCGCGGGGGGCTGGGGTCCGGGGTCACGAGGCGGGGCTTGGGGTCCGGGGTCGGAGGAGTCCCAGGGTCCGGGGTAGCGGGGGGATGGGGTCCGGGGTCCCGGGGGGCTGGGGCCTGGGGTCCGGGTCCCAGGGCGGGACCTGGGGTCCGGGGTCGCGGGGGTTGGGGTCCGGGGTCGCGAGGGGCTGGGGTCCGGGGTCGCGGGGGCTGGGGTCCGGGGTCCCGGGGCGGGGCCTGGGGTCCGGGGTCGGGGTCCCGGGGGGTCGCGGGGCGAGCCCTGAGGGGGTCCGGGGTCGGGGTCCCGGGGTCCGGGGTCCCGGGGCGGGGCCTGGGGCCCAGGGTCCGGGGTCGGGGTCCCGGGGTCCGGGGTCGCGAGGCGGGGCCTGGGTCCAGGGTCGCGGGGTCCCGGGGCCCGGGGTCGCGGGGCGGGGCCTGGGTCGGGGTCGCGGGGTCCCGGGTCCGGGGTCCCGGGGCGGGGCCTGGGGCCCAGGGTCCGGGTCGGGGGTCCCGGGCCCGGGGTCGCGAGGCGGGGCCTGGGTCCGGGTCGCGGGGTCCCGGGGTCCGGGGTCGCGGGGCCGGGGGCGCGCACTCACGGGTCCCCGCGGTCCGGGCCGCGGCCGCGGCAGTGGATGGGGTTGAGCTCGTCCTGCGGGAAGGCGTGCGCCATGTAGCTGTCGTAGCCGAAGGCGAACATGCCCCGCGCCCGGTCGCGCATCCGCGCGCGCAGCTGCGGCGGGAAGGCCCGGCTGTAGCGCCGCTCGTACTCGTCGCGGGCGCGGCCGCCCAGCACGGCGCCCCAGGGCCGCGGCCCGCACGCGCCCGCGCCGCGCCGGCCCGCGCCGCGCCCCGCCGGCCGCAGCCACGCCGGCCCCGCCGGCCCCGCGGGCGGCCCCGGCCCCGCGCCCGGGCCCGCGGCGGAAGGGGGGCGCGGGGGGGCCGCGGCCGGGCGGGAAGCGCGCGCGCGGGCCGGGGCCGGGCGCCAGCGCGCAGGCCAGCCAGAGCGCCGCGTGCAGGCCGAGGCGCAGCAGCAGCAGCGCCAGCACGAGCGCCCGCCAGCGCATGGCCGCGCGCCGCGCCGCGCATCCTCCCCGCGCCGGCGCGCGGCCCCTTTAAGGGGCGCCGTGACGCACCCGGAACCGGCCCGCGCCCCCCCCCGCGCCCGCCCCGGCCCGGCCCGGCCCGGCCCGGCCGGCCGGCGGCCCGGCCCCGCGCCCGCCCGGCCGCGGGGATTGGCCCGGCCCGGCCCGGCCTCGCGGGGCGCCGCCCGGCCTCCCGCCCGCGCCATAGGCCGCGCCGCAGCCCCGCCCGCAGGCCCCGCCCCGCCGCCTCTCCCCCCCAGACGCCTCAGGCCGCGCCGCAGCCCCGCCCCGCACGGCCCTCCCCTCACGCCCCGCCCCCCGACGCCTCAGGCCCGCCCCCGAGCCGGCGGGCCCCGCCCCCAGACGCCCAGCACCGTCCAGGGGCCCCGCCCCGCGCCCTCCAGGCCCCGCCCCGCGCCCTCCAGGGCCCCGCCCCGCGCCCTCCAGGGCCCCGCCCCGCGCCCTCCAGGGGCCCCGCTGGCGTGGCGGGCGCTGGCCGGTCGGGCGCGGGGCGCGAACTTGCGGCCAATGGCGGCGCGGCACGGGGCAGAGCGCTCCCAGGCCGCGCCCGCGGGGCAGGCGGCGCTGAGGGGCGGGGCGGGGCGGGGCGGGGCGGGGCGGGGCGGGGCCGGGGTCCCCCGAGGGCTCGCGGGCGGGCGGCCCCGGCCGGGTCTCTCGCGCCGCCCCGTCCCCCGCCCGGCCTGAGGCGCGCGGCCGCCCCGGGCCGTCTGGGGCGCGGCCGAGCGGGGCCCGAGGAGGCGGGCGCCGGCCGGAGCCGCCCTCCGAGCCGCGGGGCGCGGGCCCTGCTCCGCCGGCGGCGGGGGGGCGGGGGGGCGGGGCGGGGCGGGGCGGGGCGGGGCTCGGACACCGCCCGGGGAGCTGCGGCCCCGCCCGCGCCCCGCCCGGCCGCCGGAAGACGCGCGCGGAGCCCGCCCGCCGGCCGCGCCGTCTGCGGCCCCGGACCCTTCGGGGCCCCCGCGGACCCCGCGAGCCCGGGGGCCGTTCACAGGCGGGAGACCCCTGCCCGGCCCCCGCGCCGGCCCCCACCCCGAGCGGCCTGGGCCTCGGCGCCCCGCAGGGCGCAGCCCGGGGCGGGCCGGTCAGGTGTTTCGTCTCCGGTTAAGGTGACCCAGAGGGAGGAAACTGCTCGGGGCTCGCCCTTCCGCCCAGACGGGCCCCCTCGCCGGGAGCAGCGGCGGGGAGACCCAGACCGCCCCCCATTCCATGAGGAAACCCCGAACTTACAGAGGAGCTCGTGGATGCTGCGTGCTGGCGCCGGCTTCCCCGCAGCCCCTCCCCGAGCGCCACGCGCTGACGGAAAAGAAAGCCAGATGCACTTTGTTTGATTTTTAAGATTGATTTATTTATGCACACAAGAGCTGGGGTGCAGGCCAGAGGTGTGGGGGCGAGAGGACTCCCCAGAGACAGAGTGGGGAGCAGAACAGGCAGATGCACTGAGACCCACTGCCGAGGGGAGCAGCGGGGAGCTGAGAAGGGTCTGCTGCACCGTGTGGGTAGCTCCCTGGCGGGCTGGGACCCGAACTCGCGCTGCGGTGTCTGCCCACGGCTGGGGAGGGCTGTCTTCAACCCCTGCACCGCCAGGGCGGCGCCTAAATGCACTAGGTAGTAAAAATGGCTTGGGGGTTGGGGGAGTCACCAGCTCAGAACCTAGACTGGGCAGTGAGATTGCCAGGCCCGACCCAGTGGCAGCTCTGCCCTCTGAGTGACCTTGGAAGGTGCTGTTCTGAGGCTGTTTCCTCCTCTGTACAAGCCGGGCGCTGAGCGCAGGGCTCAGCAGGCTCCTGGCAGCGCATGCAGTGGACGGACAGCCACTCCGGGCCGTGAGCCCACAGTGTTACTCTTAACCCCTCCTTTTGAAGCATCGAGTCCAGCATCGAGTCCAGGTCCCAGGGACATACACACCCAAGTTGCACAGCTGCGTGAGTTAAAAAACTAAGCCCCTCCTGTTTCCAGGGCTCTAGCATAGAGAAAAGATCGAAGACAGACAAGTGTAAAATAGGAGGAGGGCAGAAATGCAGTCTAAGCTCAACTCAAAAGCTGGGACTTCTCAAGTCCAACGCGTGTGCGAAGGGCTGAAGCTGAAGCTACTCCATCCTAACTCCATCAAGGTCCTGGATCTCTGCGATGGGGGGTCACATCCCACAAGGTCATGCAGATCCCATTTGCCTCAGGCTTCGATGGCCGGCAGAGGCATTTCGCAGCCTTTGTAGACAGCCGTCCCTGGAAACAGGCCGGCGCCAGTTTTCCGAACCAGTCTTGCGAAGGTGGGTGGTGAATCACCCTAAGCAGCAAAGCCACAAAAGTCTGACCTCAAAGGATCCTCCTTTGAGAGGCTGCTCAGGGCGTGCTGTTAAATAGCAGGGTTGAGATAGACGACAAGGAGAGATTTCCTCCTCTAAGAAGTTAGGAATTGTTATCCAAAGCCGGATTCTTAAAGATCGAGTCATGTATGATGCCTTGGGAAACTCATTCCTGTTTCTGAAGCAAGACACGCTTGCTGCATAAAGGGACTAGAAACTCAAGCGAAAAAAGTCTATCCCCTCCAGGGCCTCTGCGGTGGCGCAGCGGGTTGAACACAGTGCTGTGAAGCTGTCCACAGCCTCTGCAGCACGGGTTCGATTCCCGGCCAGCCAGGGAGATGCCCACATGGTGAGGCAGACCTGTCCTGCCTCACCCCCTGCTCCCCTCAGCAGTGTATTTCAGTGGATCTGCCTGTTCTGCTCCCCACCTGTCTCTGGTGAATCCTCTCACCCTCCCGCACCTCTGGCCTAGACCCCAGCTCTTGTATAAATAAATAAATCTTTAAAAAAAAAAATCCCCTCCAGAAGAAAGGTGGTCCTGTTTCATTAGCTTGGTAAGAAAAGCTAAATTTCACACTTGGTTTAAAACTGAATAGTAGGGCCTCCCCGGTGGCGCGGCGGTTGAGCGCTGGGTTGCAAAGCTGCCCGCAGCCTCTGCGATGCTGGTTCGATCCCCGGCTGCTCCCCGGCCACCGCGAGGGTCCTGCATGGCGCGCAGACCTCTCCTGCCGCCCGCTGCTCCCCTCAGCAGTGTACTTCAGTCCTGCCTGCTCTGCTCCCCGCTCTGGCTCTGGTGAATTCTCTCACCCTCCCGCGCTTCTGACTGTACCCAGTGCTTGTATAAACAAAACAAACAAACAAACAAATAAATAAAACATGCCTCTATTAAAAAAAAAAAAAAAACACTGAATAGTACACATTATCATCCCCATCTGTTTGACAGGTGGAAATCCAAAAGTTATCCGCATACCACATACACTGAGTTGGCATGACACGGGGGACAGAAGCAGGGAAGGGCTGTCACGTGTCCACACTGACGGACGCAGCCTGGGTTGCTGCACAGACACATGGCGGGGCTGCGTAGACAGGCCACAGGTGATAAACCACCCGGGTGTTGACCAACGCGTGTAAACTGAGAAGAACCCACACACCATGGCTGAGGAGGAACTCTGCTTCTTGCTAGAAAGATGCACCAGTAAGTGGAGAAACCAGTTCAGTTTTGAAAGCCTTGTTTAAATCAGTTGGCTAGTTTTTTCTGAGTGTGATCTTCAAAGCATATTTATTTCTATTTACTTTGCAGTTTGCATTCTAAAAAACACTAGAATGATGAATAAAAATTAACACAAAGTTTCCCCGTCCTCTGGTGGTGAAGGGACAGCTACTCAGATGCAATCGTGGGATCAGGATTTCATGGCTTTATGTATTTTCAATTTTTTTTTTAAAGATTTATTTATTTATTTATACAAGCACTGAGTACAGTCAGAAGCGCGGGAGGGTGAGAGAATTCACCAGAGCCAGAGCGGGGAGCAGAGCAGGCAGAGGGACCGAAGCACACTTCTGAGGGGAGCAGCGGGCGGCAGGAGAGGTCTGCACGCCATGCGGGACCCTCCTCCGGTGGCCGGGGAGCAGCCGGGGATCGAACCGACGCCGCAGAGGCTGCGGGCAGCTTCCCAGCCCAGCGCTCAACCGCTGCGCCACCAGGGAGGCCCTATTTTCAATTTTTGATTCATGGACTTACCTACCTACTAAAAAGTCAACTTACTCAAAATAAAGGAACTTAGGAAAAAAGCAGTGCGTGTCCTTTCCGGCCTTGTTTGACCAAGTCACATGCTGCCATGATCTACCCAGAATTCACCTCGCCAGGCCTGCCCCACGCCCTGCCCTTGGGTTGTGGGTGCATCCAGAACTACACCGATTTTCAACCTTCCTGTGAAGGGTGAGGAGAGCAGCCACTTACAGGAATTAGCTGGTGACACAACAAATTATAGCATTTTGCCCTCAGAGAAAATGCAGGAAGAGCAAATAATGCAGGCATTGGGTGGACAGTGGACAGACATGAGAGGCTTTTATTTAAGATTTATTTTATTTATACAAGAGCCAGGGAACAGTCCAGATGCGCGGGAGGGTGAGAGGATTCACCAGAGACAGAGCAGGGAGCGGAACAGGCAGACTGACGAAGTACACTGCTGAGGGGAGCAGCGGGCGAGACAGGAGAGGGCTGCTCGCCATGTGGGTTGCTCCGCAGGGGATCGAACCAGCACTGCAGAGGCTGCGGACAGCTTCACAGCACTGCACTCAACCGCCCGCGCCATCTTAAAATGCAGTCACGAGAGCACATTGCGTGACTCGACTGGGGCAGAGGATCTGTTCCAGGACACTGTAATTAGAACTGTAGTTCTACTTCCCGTGTGCAAAACGGAACCCTCGGGTTTTGCTGGGACTCCCCGCCACGGCCCACCGGCCTTACTTTAAAGGAAGTGCTTTCTAACTGTTCCACATTTCTTCAAGCAACCACTACAATCCAACAGAACCTCACAAAACAGCAGGTATAAAGCGTTAAACAGTAGCTCCAAACCATTTCCCCCCAAACCGGCGGCAGGCACAGATCTTTTCACACGACACGCTGAAGAAAACCTTACCCTGCCGTCTGGAGAAATGCTTTCCAATTTCTAATGGCTTTCAAGACATCAGCCCCTGTGTGTGCAGCCATTTCCTATCATTGCATCATTCTGTAAAATTCTGCGGCCCCATCCCTTAACTGTTAAAAGTGCAAGCATTCCTGGAGTTGGGGATTGTCCTCGAGCCTGTTAGCATGTTCACACAGAGGAGGGGGCATCTTCATGGCTCTCTCTGCTTCCTGCTTCCATACCTCTGGTACCACAGCCGGGGAGCGAGAGGAATCGAGCTAGAAAGGCTCTCCATTTTCCAGATGGGAAAACCAGGAGCTGGGGCTTCAGTCACTCCCCTCGGGCACTGCTAACAGCCAGAAGTGGAGCCCATCCCCCCGACGCCAAGCCACACCTGGCAGAGCCCACAACCCCGGATCATTCAGGCTGACAATTCTGGGCCGACGGATCCCTTCTTTCCCCAATCCCAGACCTGCCAGCCCCAGCGCCATGAGGCTTGCAGGCCCTGCTCCTGGTGCCTGCTGGGAAATCTGCATTCCAGTCCTCAGTTGTTGAGGAAAGTAAGAACTGCCTGCGAGCTAGCGAAAGAAGTGGAGTAACGAAGAACAGCTCCTGCTGTCACTCCCAGCCACTCCGCCCTGTTGCGGCCCTGGTCGCAGGGGCCCGGAGTATGGAGGAGGGAGCCCTGACAAGGGCCCCCGTTTTACGCACGGCTGAATGTGAAACAGTAAGTGGGGGTGGGGGGATATTTACCAATCCACAGGAAGCACCTGCAGTGGGCAGCCCGCATGGGCGGCTGCAGGGAAGTGGGTTTGCTTCTTCTCTTCTCTTCCAACAATCGTCAGTCCCATGTGCTGAAGGCACAGCCTTCAGTTCGTCACAAAATTAAAATACTTCGAACTCTGGGCGCAGTGGTTTCCCTGTTGAAAGGCACATTAGAGCACTGGCCACCGATGTTCCGGGTTTGGCGGCGCCTGCGGCCCATGAATTTCCACTCCAGCTCTCCATCTGCCAGATGCCAGGAGGCAGGAACTGCCGAACTACAGGATTTAGTGTAACTGACTGTACTGGGCAGGATGCACAGGCCGGCATGTCCTCGGTCAGAAACAGCCAACACTCAAGCGGCCAGAGTACAGATTACCTGGCAAAAGCCAACAGGTGGATTTTAATCGTAGTGGCTGAAAGCAGGTATACACTGAGAGTCAAGGGTCCATCAGCTCCATGGACACCGCATTCCCCAACCCCCCCCAGACTCCCCAGTCTGCCTCTCTCCCTTCAAGAAGCCCTTTGTAGGAGACTGGTGCGAAGACCGGGCTGACAGCTCGACCAGCTGTTGTGCCGACACAGTCAAGAGGCTTAAACATGACCTTCCAGGAACTTCCATCCCAGACACTCAACCACACATCCAGGTGGCCGACGAGGCGAGGACTGGCTGGGCAGGATGACCGGTGGACGGAGGCCAGGCTCCCCTCAGCTGTGTTATTTCAGGAGATCCGCCCGTTCTGCTCCCCACTCTTTTGTCTCTGGTGAGCCCTCTCACGCCCGGCACCTCTGGCCCACCCCAGGGATCGTGTATGCACACATAAGTCTTTAAAAAAAAAAGGGTGCCTTAGGGGGAAAGTCACTGTTTCTCATGTGTAAAGTCTCTTCATTCCGGAACTCAGTCACTAAGAAGGCATGTCTCGTGATTTCTGTTTATTCGTAGAGTTTGTGCTTTTGAAAACAGCTGGATAATAAAATGCTTAACTAGCTCTTGCCACTTTTAAAAATCCCAATGTTAGCATATCACAAGTTTACAGCATGTCCACCTTCCACCGCCCCCCCCCCAAAAAAAAACACAGTATCAATTCTTGGGCCTCCCCGGTGGCGCAGCGGTTGAGCGCTGGGTTGCGAAGCTGCCCGCAGCCTCTGCGGCGCCGGTTCGATCCCCGGCTGCTCCCCGGCCACCGGAGGAGGGTCCCGCATGGCGCGCAGACCTCTCCTGCCGCCCGCTGCTCCCCTCAGCAGTGTCCTTCGGTCCTTCTGCCTGCTCTGCTCCCCGCTCTGGCTCTGGTGAATTCTCTCACCCTCCCGCGCCTCTGACTGTACCCAGTGCTTGTATAAATCAATCTTTAAAAAAAAAAAAAACCACAGTGTCAATTCTTGATATTTTAAAAGTTTATTTCTATCTTAACTAGCCCACAGACCCAATTCTTCGAGAGCTGAGCTGATTTCTTTCCAGCGCAGTCTACGGCGCCTGCTCAGAGAGACCTTCTTCCATCCCCTTCCCAAGTCAGCACCTTCCCTCATGATGCACATTTTAAGTTAAAATTGTCGATACAACCCTCAAAATGCAAGTTTATTGAATAAAGCTGAGAAGAGCAGTAAACAGACAAAAATGCATCCATCTAAATAAAAAACTTCACGTATTTACAAAGTTCAGTAACTGTCAGGTTTCACATGCAGAGGCTGGTTAATGCGCCGGCGCCGGGGGCAGTAGTGTGTGGGTGTCTGCAGGTGCTGGAAGCAACGAGCGGACAGAAGGTTCACTGGGCCCAGCGAAGCCCCCGGCTGCACTCCCCCTGCCCCTCCACCACAGGCCAGCCTCCCAGCAGGGAGCGCGCCACAGGCTTCCCAGGAAGGACAGAACCCATTCCCAGGCCGCGGCTCTACTCCCGGGAGCGACTGGGGAGGAGCAGGTGGAGTCCTTACACAGCTGGGCATCTCGCACAGAGCAGGGTTAAGGCCGTGGCGCGGTCTGGGAGCTGGTGCACCCTCTAAGGAGCGCTGCTCACCCAGGGGCTGGGCCACTGCGCGGGCTGTCGGGTCACCCAGCTGGCACCCGCGGGTCCCCCTCCAGCAGAGGTTGCCACACTAGCCAGCCACTCCCGTGAGCCCCCTCGGTGCCTGGAGCCTGGCAGCGCAGCCGCAGACCCGCGGCCTCAGTCCCTGGCCTCCCTACGGGCACTGCGCAGGGCGACATTAGGGGCGACATTAGGTAAAGCAGGGTCCCAAGAATCATGGTATCTCACGGCACCAGACCAAAAAAGTGCCACTGACATCGACAGGAGAGAAAAATAAGAATTTTCATTTGTTTGTAAGTGTCTATTGTGCTGAAAGTCAACTTTCCAACGGATATAAAAAGTCCGGGTAGAGTGTCAGGTGGAGCCCCGGGCGGTGACTGGAGAGCAAGGACAAGCGGAGTTCAGAACAGGTTTTATTATACAGGCTGGAATGCTCGGAATCCACGAAAGCTTTTGAGAAAATGTGCGATTCCCAACCCCTTAGAAAAGAGTGCTGAACCAGAAAAAAAAGAGAAAAGAGAGAATGATCTGGACAGATACGAAACAGCGTGCCGACCCCTCGCGCGCGCTCTGGGGAGCAGCCTCAGAGCAGAGCTGCCCAGCCCCGCAGGAGCGACAGGGCAGATCTGGGGCCTGCGCCCACGCCTTGCAGACTGCGCTCCAGTCCCTAAGGTGTAATTAGACATTTCACATGCATTTGTGAGATAAATAAACATTATATTTATATCCCACGTGAGTCAGGCTAAAGGTTTCTAAATACTGTGTGTGGCACTAGAAATTCATGCTGCCTCGTCAGCGTCAGGATGAAGCTACTGGACTCTACGCTGGAACACTGGAGACACGTGTACTGAAAACCGATATAAAAATCTGGCCCAGAAAGACCAGAACAGAAATATGCAATTTTCTTGATTTAAGATGGTCAGGTGTGTATTTTAAAAAAGCTCTACACGCTGTTTGAGACAAATACGTGAAAGGAGCCTTTTCGAGGTGCTGACTACCATGCCGCTGCGGCTGATTCTTGGTGAAGGGTTAGGGACGCGTGTCTTCAGCAGTGCACATGAGAAATAAATTCTGGAAAAGGCAATTTCTTGGGTTTAGGAAGGACCGTATTCTGGGAAGTACTTGAGCGGAACGGACAATAATTCTAGGAGGAAAGCCAGGAAGGACTGGAAGACTTCAGGAGGCGCTTCAGCTTCTTCTAGATTTTGAATGTTGAATAAGCCACTGAAGTGTGATATCTAAAGGTGGAGGGAAAAAAACGAAGGCGTTAAGGACACTCGGGGAACCGAGTATCAGAGCCGACCCTGCCAACGTGGCCACTGTGGCGCACACGCCAGGCCGCCTCCTGCTTGCCTGTGTCCACGCTGCTGTCACCCAAGCCCCAAGAGGCCGATCCAAGGGATGGGGAGAAATCAAACCGGGGAGAGTCAGCGTGTGCTCTTCTGGCCACCCCATACTCTGCTGGCCAAGAGGGCCAGGAAGCACAGGGAGTGGAAGGTGTGGGAAAACCTCTGCCCTCAGGAGCTCTTAGATGATATTAACAGCACAAGATGCAAGAGTGTGTGCATTGGGGGGTGGGGGGTCGCTAGACACAAGGACTAAGTGGAAGGTACGGGATGCACAGGGACGGGGGAGGGACCGTCACTCCTGTCAGGGCAGAGCAGGCCCTCTCAACCTTGGCCTGTTGGCGTTTTGGGCTGTGTGTGGCTCTGCTGGGAAGAGAAGGCCTTTCTTGCACGCGGCAGCCTGTTCTGCAGCCTCCATCATGCCCTCCCCTCCTCAGTTACTACAACTAAAAAAATGTGTGCACACACTGCCCAGTGTGCCCTGGGGAGCCACAGTGCCCTTGGGCGAGAACCACAGGGCTAGGCCGGGGAAGTAGGAGTCAGCTCTAGGAAGTGAAGAAGGCTGGCCGTTACTCCCCAGCCCATAGGAAGTTACTGGGGAGCTTTAAGCTCGGCTCCTCACTGCACACCCCCAGGAAGCAGCGAGCACGCACACAGCACTGTCACCAGCACACGTCTCGGGAGCAGTTTAGTAAATTCCTAAGTCTCTGCTAAGACGCTACAGGAGTTGAAGTCCAGGAGGGTGCTCTGCGCCCGGGCGCACCCAGGAGTGCAATCCTCTCGCCGTGCGTTTGTGCGGGCATTGCCACATGCGCAGTGCTCGCCTGCGAGTCCGCGCCAGCGGCCGGCTCGCTGGACAGGGTGGCGCTGGGGGAGCAGGAGCTCTGCAGAGACCGTAGGCAGGGCCTCACACCGTGGAAGGAGCCGCCCGGCACACCCGCCTCGCGCTTCCTGAATGATGTCGGAAGACTTGTTTTCAGGAATCTGGCTAGTGAGTCCTGGTGACAAGACAAGGATTTGCCCCTTCCCTACAAAGCCTTTTTTTTATTTTTAAGCAGCAGCAGTGACACAAGAGAGTAGAGGACTGACAGCGCTGCGCACCACACTGCACCATGGTGCTCAGCTGCAGTGAGAACGCCACGTCAGGCAAGACCTCCGTAGGCGCTGCCGGGCGTCGAGAGCCCCTCTGGCTCACCGACCAGAAGCCAGCAGCACCCTCAGTAAGACACCCCCACATGCCCGCAGACACAGCCAGACGTCTCCGGACGGCCCCGAGTGTGAGCCGGCGCACTCAGGGGCACACATTAAAATCTAACAGGAGCTCCCCCCAACATAGGAAACAAGTTTTTAAATAAGCTCTAAGTAACCACAGGTGCGCAAGTCCACTAAAAAACCCCAGTACATCAAGTCACATTCTCTTTTATATACTAAAGGAGAATCCGTGTCCATCAGTCAACTGCAGGGACCCAGCCTGGCTCCAGCAGGCTTTAAAGGGCGCCCAGAATCAGCCCAGAACGCACACGCCGCGCTCGTCACGGCACGGGGCAGGGTGAGAGACAGGCTGGAATTCACTAGGGAAAAGCGAAGTATGATGGAACCAACACATCCTGACTGAAGGCTGAAGGAAGAGCTCAGAAAATCTGCTTGAGGCACACTGTATGACCACTATTTATTGAATTTTATTCCAACACACGTTTAAAATTAAATACTCTTACCAAGTGAGTTTAGGGACTAAAGTCAAGCCACACACACTGATCCTTTAAGGACACTGAACTGCTTGCACGGTGTACCCTGGACATTCACCAGTACTTGTAACCTCAGAATGTGACTTACTTGGAAACAGGGTCTCTTTAGACACAGGGAGAGAGGCCAGGGGATGGTACATGAAGAGGGAACAGACAGAGGCCTGCACAGAGGAGAGGGCGTGCGGAACCAGAGGCGGAGACTCGAGTGAGGCATCCATGAGCCGAGGAAGGCCCAGGAAGGCCAACACTGGGAGGGGCCCGAAAGGGCCCCCACTCCCCGCTCCCCCCAGATTCAGACCTCTTGGCTCCCAAACACGAGAGAAAACATGCCTGCTGTTCTAAGTTTGTGATGCCCAGCTACGGCAGGCCCAGGAAATGAAGGCGGACAATAAGCAGGTGAAGGGTACTAGCGGCCAGTGCCTCCCAGGGCGCGCTGGCCTGCTGCAGGACACCCTTGCTGAGTCACTGAAAACCTGACAGAGAGCCTACAGACCACATGTAAGAAGTGTTCCTTCAACAGGCCACTTTGTTACACAGCACTGCTGGGTGCTAGTTCTGCAAAAATTAACACAATAAATTGATATCACATGAAGGCTTAACTCAGGCCTTCGTTGCAGTCACGTCTTCAAGGGGTACGCAGCCGGGTCAGGACGCGCTGTCTGTTGCCAAAAGAGATGACGATTGCGCTAGACCCTGAGGCAAAGCAGCAGTGTGGCGTGAAGGAAGCCGCTTGCACAGGAATGGAGACAGTGAACTGCAGGACGCCCTCCCTAGACACCCTCCCACTCACAGCCATGACTTCCCAAACAGTCTTTCTTACCTATATTATCCTTTTCTTTGCAAGAAATTGAATAGCAGCAAATTTCTCTATCCTGAATAGCGGACAGATTCCTACAAGAAGCAGAATTAACAAAGTAAGTCTGTGCTTAAAAGAGCAGCAGTACTCATCACACATTCTGCGTTTCACTTAATTACTTGTTATTACTAGAACTTTAGGGATTCACTTCTCGGGTGGGCCAAGTTCATCTACGGAAATCATGCTACAATCATCACTGAACAGGCCGATGGTCAGCAAAGCAGTGGGTAGAACGATCATTTGAAAGCAGAATTGTTTAGCGCCATCATTCATTCTTTAAGACATACATTTTTTCGATGAGCTGTTTCTCGTCCAAGGCATTAGGAAGATCTCTCTTGTTTCCAAGGACTAGCACCTTTTAAAAGAAAATATATAGACAGTAAACTTCCACGTAAGGAAACAGGCACACGGCCCAGCACCGCAGGCGAGACCCAAACTGCGCGGGCCGTCCTGCAGGTAGAGCGGCTGCGCCTCTCGGCATGCTGGCTCCTCTCCTGTGGCTGCCGAACCCCGCAGGACAGCTGATCAAAACCCCCAAGTCTGCAGTCATGTACTTACAGCACGGGCACCATACTTACTGGAATTCCTTGTAACTGAGGCTTATCTAGAAGGTTATGGAGCTCATTTCGAGAAGCTTCTATCTTCTCACGATCTGCAGCATCTATCATGTAACTTTTAAAGAAATAAATTGATCTCAACGTACCTTCTCCATGAGCTTTAGTGAGCACAACTGAAATGAAGACTTCTAATTTTCTTAAGATTTATACTGTTTAAATTGTTAATCAAAATAAAATTCGGGATAAAAATAATTTTAAAAAGATGGTTCATGAGAACAAATGTATGTGACTGGAAGACATTTATATCCCTTGGCTCTTAGTTGCATAAACCAAAAACATTTTAAAAAACCCTCACCTATGACTCAACTGTTAAGTCTCACGCTGGCAGGATTACCCTAAGAAGGCCTCTAGGGAGACTGTCGCTGTCTGAAATAAAAGTCGAGCCTTTGGAAGTTTTAAAAACAGTTTTTTCTCTGGAGCCTAAGCTGGCTCTGCCACAGCCTGCGGAGGAGGGGGGGTCACTTATAGACGGAGGGACTCCCCGCGCGGGGGTGGGGCGAGGGGTGCTTACACAATGGCATTGACTCCTCTGCAGTACCGTTCCCACATGCTCCGGAAGCGGGGCTGGCCTCCTATGTCCCAGATCTTTAAAACAAGACAGACAATTCTTGAGAGGACATTTCGAGCACCACATGGGGGAAGAAAGTTCGGGCAGGAGGCTCATGGCAGTGAGAGCCAGGCTGCCCTTGAAAACCAGGGCCCAGACAAGCTCTTTTGGGAGTTTTGGGGTCATTTCTAAACCTGACGCTCACAGATCACCAGACGTTGTACTCTCGCTCTGTCGTTCTGCTTAAACAAAGATTTGGTTTGGCACAACACCTCCTTTGCTTACTCACTAATACATTCATAATACTGCAAATACACATCTTTTTAAAATCTACAAAACATGCATCACCCAGATGTGAACATCAAGAACACAGAGTGCGCTCGGAAGCCATGCGTTGCGTGTCCTGACGGGACATTACTGCGAAGTCACCTGGATTATTCTGTAATAACGCGGCCAATGTTTCTACCCGGGAGTCTTTCTTCTATAAAATTATCTTAATCCTATACAGGCCACAGTAATTTCATTGTGGTGCCTACTCTGTGAGGGCTGCGCAGGGGCTGTGCGAGGCCCTGGCTACACAGCAACCACAGCTGTAAAGAAAGGCAGAACAGGTCACAGGACCTGCTACCACAATTGAAACACTACATTTCCAGTGTTACAAATAATAAATCATTGCCTTTCAATCCCAAAATGTCCATAAAATAATGAAATCCCAAATTCCACTTCTCTGAGGCACGACGGCATTTCCCGGGAACGCCGCAACCCCAGCTCTCACGTCTAGCAGCACAGGCCAAGTTTCTGGGGTCCGTTTCCATCTGCAGGTTTTGTGGGCACTCACTGACATCTCCCCCCGACCTGTTCTCAACTGCTAGAGAGAGGAGAGCAACGGCTCGCCCTCCTCCAGAGCACGTCGACTCACCGAAGTGGAGACCGGGGGCCCAGGGAAGGACAGGGAAACCGGACAAGCCCGCGCTGGCACGGCTGCGGGGACCAGGCGGTTGGGGGCGGGGGGCGGGGACAGGGGTGCTGACCTTTATCGTGACGTTGCCCTTGGTGACCTTCCTCATGTTGAAGCCGACCGTGGGAATCATGTCTTCGCTGAACTGACCCGACTGCGGGAGAAAACAGCACGTTACACTGACGGGCCGGCCGGGAGGCGCGGGCGGGGCGAAGCCTCTGACCAACACCCGGCGCGCGGCCACCGCAGCACATGACCTCTGGGGGTGGCTAACAGCCGCTTTAAGGAAGCATTCCTTGTAATCACAGTTTTCGAAGATAAATTCTCCCATTTAAAAAAAGGTATTTCTGAAACTAAGGTCATTTTCTACATTTCCTTAAGCTGAAAAAAAAATATTGTGCATCACAAATACACATGGAAATGTATTGCTTCCCCCACGACACATACACTTCACAAACCAGAAGAAAATCAAAAGAAAACTTGATCACTTTTACTATTTATATAATTTTGACAATCACTCAAAATTCACCACTGAGTAACTTTTCCAGGTTTATCCTTGAACAAGGCTTATAAAGCGGTTTGTCATGTGGGTCTCCCTGCTCTGTGATCAACTCTGTTCTCCTTTCAGCTTATGACCTCCTGTCTTCGACTGAAATATCTTCTAATAGCAGCTATATGGTTTTTTCCAAATTTAAACTATGCACCCACTGCGAATTGGATTACACAATGCAAGAAAGTTTCTTTTTATAACCGGACAACCAGTAATCACCTAACTCCCATTTAAAAATCCAACCTTTCCCAACTCCCTTGAAGAGATCTGCCAAAGTCCGCTGGGGGCAGTTCCAGGCCTGAATCCTCATTCATTTCCACGAGGCTGTTTATTCCTAAAGGCGAATTACTCCGATTACTGCAGCTGACAGTGGGTGTCATCATATACAGCAGGTGGAGAATTTGGAATTTTTTTTAATTGTCTTAATTCATGGAGACAAGCTTTAGAAATGAATCACTGTTCACATAGTGACTGGGCTTACAGAAAGTGTATTACTTTGAGGACTGTCCTTCACCAACTCTTGATGTTTCAGCACTATGAAGCGCCGCCTTCCACGCACTGGGCTTGCGCTGGGCCCTGCACTTACGTATCTAAGGCCCACGCCGAGTCCTCCCATTCCTAGTGACATTCCTACCTTGACAGCAAAGGTGAAGGGCAGCTAATGAGCCTCAGTTAAGTCTGACTTTACATACTACAGATTTACGTTTCATAGACACAACAGTAATTTCTCAGTTGGCCTGAATCTTACAGAAATTACATAGTAAACAGCACGGGATATGAAATGTCTCAACAAGGGGCTGGTCAAGCAAACGGGACTCTCTTCAAGGCTCTGACACTTGCCAATTGTTTGCCGTGACCTTATGCTGGCTACACACACATTCCACAAATGTCTGCAAGTTTGAGCACAATGAATTCTACTAAATTCTAAAACTTCTACTATTTCCTCCCCTGCTCAGTGGAGTTTCAGAATGATTTAACACAACCATTATCACTACTTCCACTTAGATTAGACACACCATGCTCAGAACTTACACATACGTATATGGAAATCTAGTCATGATTTCAAAACTATTATATCCCCAACAAAAAAAGATAGCATGACTGAAAAAAATGGGGCCAGGTGACACCAAAGACAATTCATAAAAACAATTAATAAACTGGACTTCATTAAAATAAAAATCCCTGCTTGGCAAAGACAGTGTCAGGAGAGAAGACAAGCCACAAACTAGGAAAAATATTTGCAAAAGAGACCAATAAAAGTTGGCTATCCACAATATACAAAGAGCTCCTGAAACCCAGCAACACGAAAACAAGCAATCCAGTCACAAACACTGAGCCAAAGACCTTGGAGCCTCGCCAAAGAACACACAGAGACAGTAACCGAGCGTGTGCAAAGATGCCCCATGTCACAGGGCATCATGAAAATGCAAATAAAAACCCTGACACACCACCCCACTCCTACAGAGTGGCCAAAGCTCTTGCACGGATAACACCAAGAGTTGGAGGAACAGGACTCTCCTCACTTCTTGCCAGCAGGAATGCAACTGGTACAGTCACTCTGGAAGACAGTTCGCAGTTTCTTACAACACCAAACATAGTCTTACCATACAATCCTGGGATTAGGCTCCTTGATATTTACCCAAAGGTGTGGAAAACTTAAATCAACACAAAAACCTGCATCAGCTGTTTACAGCAACTTCACTCATACTTGCTAAAAACTTGGAAGCAACCAAAATACCCCTCAGTAAATGAATGGATAAATAAATGACTACACCCAGATAACCGAACATTTATTCAGCACAAAAAGAAGTGAGCTACCAACGCACTAAAACAATGGACGAATCTTAAACGCACAATTACACGCAGGAAGCCAGCGGGGAAACACCACGTGCCGTGTGGTTCCAGGGACACGACACCTGAACAGGCCACATGGAATAAGCCAGTCACAAAAAGACGAGCACGGCATGATGCTAGCCCTTGGGGTGCGCCTTCGATCGCTGGATTCTTAAGGGCAGAAAGAACACGGTGGCTGCCAACGGCTGAGGAGGGGGGGGACCGCTCAGGGGCACAGAACGTCAGTCTGGGAGGACAAACGTGTTCTGCAAATGGATACTGGGGACGGACACGGGACGCTGTGAATGCACTGAATACCACCGAACGACACACTTAAAAAGTGAAAATGGCGAAGTGTATGGTGCGTGTACTTTACCACATTGTAAAACACGCCGCGGCGGCGGCAGCGGCCATCGTCACCGCCATTTTATGAAACAGGAAATAAAGCCCCAAGGTCGCACTGCTCTATGGTGGTGGATTACATTTTCCTCAAAAATTTCCACTGCAATAAGCCCTTCATTAATCTCCTAGGAGAGGCCTTGCGAGAGGGCCGCCTTGGCCTCCGAGGAAGCGCGCGTCTCACACACCGAAGCAGCCGGCAACAGCAGCTCAACTTTTCAGGCGGCAAAACTTTTCAACTAGCTTGTCCTTCCAAAGGCAGCTTCAGCCTTCAAAATGCTTTCTAAAACACAGTCCGCACTTGGCACACTGCGCGCAGCCCACGCACCGTGACTGACCGTGTCCTGGCTGTCCGCAGGGGAGGTGACGGCAGCAGCTGCACGGGAGGAAACCCCATCACACAGCCCTGCAGGCCCCGGGCGGCTCGGGTCTGCGACGCGAACAGTAGTTGCAGCACCAGCCCTTCAGTTACTGGAGGGGGCTGCGGGACTCCGGGGTGCCCCTGGCTCTATCAGATGTTCATTCTGTAACGGGGGTCCCCAGGGAAAGGGGGGGTTCCAGGATTCCTGCCCGCCAGGGAAGGGAGGGGCCGAGCGAGGAGGAGGAGAAGCTAGAGGGGCTGGGGAAGGCCGACGGGCGCCGGGGGCAGGCCGGGCGGAGAGCCGCGCTTGCTTCTCGGCCTGGGACTGGCACCAGGAACTTGGGGGACCTGGAAGGAGACCCTTGGAAGACAGCCGTGGGGGAGAGCCGTGGGGAGGCCGACAATGGCAGCCTTTATCTTCGTCTTTTTCCTTGCAGCCGTCTCTGGCCGGTTCTGCCCCTTCCCCACGGTCCCAGCGGAAGATCCTTAGACTCGGGGCAGAAGTTCCCGCTTCAAGGGGCCCCGCCTGGGGCCAACCCTGTTTGGGAAGATTTTACCCACCAGGGGATGGGTAACTTTGGGTGCTGGATTTGGAAACGATGTTGTCTATTCTTTCCTTTCTCCCCTCGTCTCTTCACTGCACACTGACTGCACAAAAGTTCCCTCCCGGTGAGGGTCTTACGCACTAGAGCAGGTTTTGTCTTGATGTGGTGGATGGCAACCTACTCAGGGTAGGCAGGTTTGGGGGTTTTGGGGTGCCCTTCATCCTGCCCAGTAACAACGCTCCTCTCCCTCCCTGTTACTTCTCACTGCTGGCAGAGGCTAACAATAACTCCCCCTAACTCAGTGGCTACCGCGAACCTGCAAATCTGAAAATGAGGGAATCAAGCCCTTGGGTTCTGAGCCCGAGAATGTCAGCAGGACGGCAAGGTGTTCTCAAGCACTCGGCTCTGGAGCATGAAGTCTGTGGTCTGACTCCACAGCCCTGGAGCATTAATGAAATGGCTAACAGGGAGAAGTAACAGGGAGGAGAGGGGGGATGAACCCCGAAGAAAGCCAGGGGCGCCCTGGAATACCGCAGCCCCGCCAGCGACTAGTGGGGTGGTGCCATAACTAATGTTTTCTTGACTTTCATGCATGATTTGAGACAGATGACTTTACAGAGTCTTGGGAGCATCTTCTTCGTGTCAAATCTTAACCGTCACTTCTCAAGCCCCCATTCAAGAGCGAAGCCTCAGCCGGCAGCTGTGCTCTGGGGAACTAAGAGCGCGTTTCTCTTCTGCTGAAATACACTCAGCTGGGACGAGCAACTCAGGAAACAAACGGATCTTCAAAAATTACTAGCTAATTGTGTATTTTATTTGCTTTAACAAATTTAACAAATAACACCAAGCACTGTTCGGAACGTGTAATAAATATTAATCAGTGTTAAATTGTTTAATTCTCACAGCAACCCTATGAAATAGGTAGCACTGCCCTCATTTTTCAGGCAAGGAAACTGAGGCTAGCTCACTTGCCCAAGTGGACCCCTGACAGCCCTCCTGCATCTCAGCACCCTAAAGCAGCTCCTCAGGGGAGAGATTAGGCTTCACAACTGCTCCTGTGCATGAACGGATGCTGAAAGCAAGCTGGGAACCAGCTGGGAAAAGAAATTTCTCTTTGTCTGAGCTGCCCATCTACAGGAGCAGTCTGAGCCAATCCAATCAGCCTGGAAGAGAAGAGGAAAAATACCGGCTTGACAAATGTCTTCAGTTTTTCTCTAAAGGCCTTCTTTTTCTAAGGCTTTGGACAGCAAGCTGCTGTGTAAGACAGAATGAAAGGGGAGCATAACAAAAGCCTCACACTAAGTTTCTGCTCTTGGCCAGAAGGAACTATTTTCACATGCTAAGCAGGGTGTTTGGTTTTGTTATTTTCACACACACACTAGGCCTCATTTTTTTAATTGCAAAATTCACACACTTCACAAGTCAGAAGACATGGCAATATATACATATCTTCTTTCCAAGACCTT